AGTGCCAGTACCTCCAGCACCAGCACCCCCAGAACTAGCACCTCCAATGCCAGCACCTCCAGCTCTAGCACCCCCAAAACTAGCACCTCTAGTGCCAAAACCTCCAGCTCCAGCACCCCCAAAGCAAGCGCCATCTGCGCCAGCACCTCAAGCTCCAGCACCCCTTGAACGAGCACGCCCGAACCAAGTACCGCCAGTGGCTGCACCTCTAGCTCCAACACCAACCGACTCCACAGTAACCTGTCGCGGAAGTGCCGAAGGCTGCTGAGGAGACTGTGAGGAGGACTGCGGGGAGGGAGACGCTACCTGACGCACGACCGAGGGTAGAGGGGTAGCGTCAGACACACCTGACGGGGCAGGACCAGGGGGGGGGGGGTGGAGGTACCGGAGGAGCGGGAGCAGGGGGAAGAGAGGGTGCGAGGAAGAGGGGAGGATGGGGAACTGGGAGACCTCGACATGGGTACTGGGTGTAGTAGGACACTGACTCGTCAAACCGGACATCACGAGAGTCGAGAAACTGGTGGAGGGGCGGGTGGTAAAAGGAGTAGTCGGGAGAGCCCACCGGGAAACCAAGGAAGACACAGGGGATGGCGCGAGCTGAGAGCTTGTCCGTAGAGGTGTCGCAGACAAGCGCAAGGCAGCCCTAGACGTGGAAGGCTGACCCAACACCAGGGGACCCAGTCCAAAGACTGGTCGGTGAAACCCTGGCCGCGAGACACGCGGCTGGAGGTTTAGCTGGTGCGTGGCGTAGCGCAGCGCGTAGGGCCACAGAAAATGGGGTGCATGGGCATGGACCATGGACGTGCGGGCTATGTCCATGACCAAGCCAATGCGGCACTCAGCAACCCCATTCCACTTTGTGGACTCCGGCAGTGTCCAGGACTATCTGATGCCCTGCTCGCCGCAGAACCTGGCAAGAACGCCGGAGCAAAACTCACCCCCACGACTAGAGTGGAGACAATGGACACGACTACGACGGGTGCCGCCAGTGGCTAGAAGCCACCGGATCAGCGTAGATGTCACCTCGGACTTCTTCGCGAGAGGAAACACCGTGGTGTACTTGGAGTAGTCGTCAACGACCACTAGATAGTAGCGCTCCCTCTCAGGTCCCAGCGTAGGGGTAGGGCCCTAGACGTCCAGGTGGAGAGTCTGGAAGAGAGCAGTGGCTGGACAAAGGGAGGAGGAGTGCGGAGTGGCGCGCAGGCGGCTGGCGCCGCAAGAAGTGCGCAGTGGGGCAAGCAAGGGAGGGAGCGACAGAAAGACGCGCAAGAGACCTGAGACAAGACTGTGAGTGGCCATGGTGCAGAGGCAGGGGAGCGACAGGTGGCCAAGGCGGTGATGCCACAAGACGGTCAGGTGGGCTAGGGACCGGCAGGAGCAAGACGCAGCAACCTGACCAGACACCTCTACCTGACCAGACACAGCGACCGGACTAGACACTGGGACCTGAGGGGACGCAGCGACCTGAGCGGAGGAAGCAACCGGGGAGTGCTCGGTGTGGAGAACTTAGAGACCAGAGCGGGACTCCCTGGTGAACGTGGCAAGAACAGCACCTGTAGCGATGTCTGTACAGACCGCAGTCCTCCCACCCCCCACAAAGGTAACGGTGATCCCCCTGTCCTGGAGGTATCCAACACCCACCAAGTTCCGAGTGAACGAGGGGATGTGGAGGCCACGCAGGACACCAAAGGGGCCAACAGGGCACAGGAGGGTGGTGGAGTTGCGCGCAATGGCTGGTCCCGAAGAAGGATCAGCCAGAGCTACCGGAGCCGGAGAAAGGAGTGGTGTGAGGGCCGTGTGGTCGCGGAAGAAACACTGCGATGCACCAGAGTCCAGTGTGAATAACAGAGACGCCTCAGCCGGAGGCGTGTCAGGTCCTGAGGCTACACAAGCACCTAGAGTAGAAACACAAGCACCTAGACTAGAGAGGCACAGGTCTACACCAACAAGAGGCAAGCATCCTAGACTACGAATACGCGAGCACACAGATCCATCAGCACTATAGTCAACATCAGCACACAAAGCATACTGACGAGCATCGTCCATAGACAGTTCAAATACAGGAATCTTACGGGCTAGCAGGAGAGCCCAGTGCGGGGTGGTCGCCTCAGGACCCCTGCGCGCACGGTAGAGGTGGTTGAAGCGGCGGAAGCACCGCGCCGCAGAGTGGTCGTCGCGGCCGCAGACACAAGGACTGCCCGGTCCGGTGACACACTAGTGGTCGCAGGGGCCGGTGTTGCGCCGCGGGGGGCGAGGGGCCTAGCTGGTAGTGCTGCTGCTGCGGCCAGTGCTCCCAGGTCCTCCAGGTCCCCACTGTGGCAGAGGGCCCCAGTGCTGCTGCGGACCCCACTGCAGTGGGGGTCCCCATGACTGAAACTACTGTGGTGCCTACCACTGCTACTGTCCCTGCTGCTGCTGCTGCTGTCTCTGCTGTGGCTGCTGCTGCTGGGGCCCCGCACCACCGCTGGTCGACATCCTCCAGCAGGTGGGTCAGCACCTCCTCCAGAGCTCCCTCCGCCTGGTGCACCACCGCCACCGCCACCATTGCCGCCCCCAGGGCCGCCTCCACCACCGCCACCTCCTCCACCGCCGCCACCCCCCTTCCTCCCTTTCTTGCCTCCCTTGCCCCGTTTCTGCCTGTCAACGGCAGAAATAGCTGCAGTGTCCTTAGAGACCGGCACAGCAGCAGAGGCACAAGTAGCAGTGAAGGTAGGAAGCTGGGGGACAACACATCCCTCAAACAGACGAGGAGCAACTGCGTCAGTGGCTAAGGCAACAGAGAGGAGGTTACTCTCAATCTTCCTGAGAGTGGTCTCCAGAAGATCAATCGTAAGCTCACTGGGGTGCTGCTGAAGAAGTGCGTCACGGGCAGTGGAGAGGCAGTCAGGGAGACGAGTGACTACCCAGTGGACGGTGAGCCATATAGGAGGAGGGGCAACAAGAAGCTGAGCCTCAGTGGAAGCTGCTCGGTAGCTAGTGACAAGGGAGTGCAAGTGTGTGGCTAGGTCAGAGACAGTCGCAAACGAGCCGAGGTCGGGAAACACGAACGGCATGAGGATGCGGCTGAGGGAGGCAGAGGAAGGGGTGGAATAGCGTGCAGAATTAGCATCATACACCTCCGCACTCTCTACCAGGTTGAAGTGAGCGGCATCAGTTGGTGGAAGGAGCTCGGTCAGCGCGAGTGCAGCCGTAGTGCCACGGGAATCCCAAACGTCCCGCGCCAAGACGAGGCGAGCATAGTCCGCCCGCGCCTCTAGAGTCGGTGGGGGCACGGCAGGGAGGGGCTCGGGACGCAGGGGTGCCTGGAGGGCGCCGGACGCGTGGGCGTACAAGGTGGCGCCGTCCTGGCGCTGACTGGTGAGGTAGCGCTGAGTCTGGCAGAGCCAGGTGCCAAACTCTATCGGGCGTCCCTCCGCATCGAAACGAAGGCGGCGGGAGTCCATATTGGAGGCTTGGCTAGAGGCGGCTGGAGCACGGAGCAGGCAGAGCTAGGAGCGAGAAGGGAGACTAGAGACAGCTAGAGACGCCAGCTGGACATAGACTAGAGGCAGTCGGAGGAAACTTGTCTAGGAGTGGGGATCTAACCGGTCCTAGGTCACCCTACCGGTGGGAAGAGCGGTTGCCAGCCGCTGAACCGGAAGCCAACCGCAGTAGGAATTGCGTGGGGCGGGGAACAGGTTAAGAGGAGGGGCCAACGGTTGGGCAGAGAGGGGCGCACTCGGGTAGCGAGGGTGAGGGCACGCGAGCTAATGGCGAGGGCGCGGGTAGGGCAGGGCGCGGCCTAGGGCTACGGCGCGGCCTAGGGCAGAGTGCGGCTCAGGGCAGGGCGTGGCCTAGGGCTAGAGCGCTGCTGAGGGCGAGGTCGCGGCCTAGGGCGAGGGCGCGGCTTAGGGCAGGGCGCGGCCTAGGGCGCGGGCTGGGGCTAGGGCGAGGGCGCGGGTTAGGTCGCGGGCGAGGGCGACGGGTTAGGTCGCGGGCTGGGGCGCGGGCTGGGGTGACGGGCTGGGGCGCGGGCTGGGGTGACGGGCCGGGGCGCGGGCTGGGGCGCGGGCTGGGGCGCGGGCTGGGGCGACGGGCTAGGACGCGGGCTGGGGCGACGGGCTAGGGCGCGGGCTGGGGCGACGGGCTAGGGCTCGGGCGCTGGCGAAGGAGCAGGCTAGGCGCGGAGGGCGCGGAGGGCGCTAGGGCGCTGAGGGCGCGGAGGGCGCGAGAGCGCGGAGGGCGCGAGAGCGCGGAGGGCGCGAGAGTGTGGAGGGCGTGGAGGGATCTAGGGTGCGGAGGGCACGGAGAGCGCGGAGGGCGCGGAGAGCGCTAGGGTGCGGAGGGCGCAAACACGGGCTAGGCTAGGCTAGGAAACAAACCTAACTGATACCATCTCAAAGTAGGAACACAACGGAATGTGTGAACAAGAGAAACAAGGGATACAAATAGCAACCCTAAAAATTGTACTCCCTAGAGTGCTACTCACTGTAGCCTAAGAACCTATAATAACATTTGATAGCCAGCCAAGTGTACCCCTGACTGGTATGGTAAAAAATATGCTAGCCTGACAAAATCAGGGTAAAAAACAAAAAAGGAAAGCCTGTTTGTGGCAGGGTAAAATTCTGTTGCAATGTCTGTCTCCGTTATTTATAATTTTGATTTTCTAAGCACTCAATATCCGCTCCGACGTGGCTCAGCTAAAGAATAAACCAGGGCTCAGAAAAGAATAAACCAGGCCAGACCAGGCAAATGTACGCCTCTAAAATCCAGAAACTAAAAGGAACCTACGAAACAGGTCAACCACCCAGGTTTGAGCTGCTTTTGGGTGGTGTAACTACTGGTATTGGTCTGTTTTATAGACAAGGATGTACAATTTGTGGATATCCTTGGAGAAAAGGGTACAGCTGCTGCATACAGAAGCTCTGAAATCCAACCAAGTCTTACAGCACTACATAAGCGCTAACAAGACGAACTTGTACCCATCACAAGTCGAGTCATGGTGGGAGCTGGGCTGGGTCTCAAGCGAACTGGTGAATGACGAAGTCAAACTCTGCATCCAGGCTTAGCACATTGACCTCTGCATTCTTCATCTTCTCCACCTGCGCATCAACCTTAGTCGCTGCACTCAACTCCTCTCTCCCCACCACCTCCTCCCTGACAGCCTGTAGCTCGTTGACAATGTGCGCCATGGTTGGGCGGTCCGCAGTGGCGTCAACGGTGCAGCTCACCGCCAGCTCAGCCAAGCGCAGCACGACATCCCCAGGGGGGGCGTCCATTCCCGGGTCCCTGAGGTTTTCGGAGTCACCTGAGGCGAGGCACTCAGATGCCTGAGGGAGAGCGGGGATGGACGTATCAAAATGATTGAAGAGAATGATTATTCATGATGGGGTATTTGAGGAGGCTCTCTGTGGCACCTGTCTAGAGGAGTGCGAGAAAAAAGCGGGATGATTAAAGGAGTCTAGGAGTGGAGATGTGCTGTAGTAAGCAAAAGCAACTCGAGCATACATCACTGCATGAGGAGGCTTATTCGTTACTTTCATCCACGTTACAACTGCACAGACCTATTTAGCCTTGCTGCCAGCGTTGGTACTTACGATCAGGAGGATGTGTTTGGTCTCCCCAGCAAATTCAGAAAATGGAGGGCGTCCAGAGAGCACCACAAGCATGAGCACACCAAAGCTGCAGCGAGGGAGGGAGGGAGGGAGGGAGGGAGGGAGGGAGGGAGGGAGGGAGGGAGGGAGGGAGGGAGGGAGGGAGGGAGGGAGAGAGGGAGGGTGGGAGAGAGGCAGGGAGGGTAGGAGGGAGGCAGGGAGGCAGGCAGGCAGGCAGGCAGGCAGGCAGGCAGGCAGGCAGGCAGGCAGGCAGGCAGGCAGGCAGGCAGGCAGGCAGGCAGGGAGGGAAGGGGCGTAAAGGTCAGGAGACTGTGGAGGCACTATGGAAGTCAGTTCTGAAATGAATGATGCGTGCCATGCAAGTGTCATGATGGGCATGCAGCAGCGCATGCAGCAGGGCACGAAAGCAACAGCAAACATGACTGGAAGGAGAGCGAGTATGAATGAAGAATCACCAAGTGAAGGCACATCTCCTCAGTACTCCGACCATGTCACCTGTAGACATCACTGGCGGTGGTTGCCTGTGACGACTTGGAGTATACGGGATCCACATAGCCCGGTGTTCCCATCACTTGTGTGGTGCCCTCTCCCACAGTGGTGCCCTCTCCCATAACTTTGCCCTCTCCCTCCCTCATAAGCCCAAAGTCTGCAATCTTGGCCTGATAGGTGGTAGAGACATAGCAGCATGAGCAACGCCATAGGTGATCACAAATGTAGTGTGAAAAGTTGATGTGTCTTGTATTTGTTGTGCATCGTGGAACAATGGAGCAGAACCTTACTTGACCATTGCTTGCAGCACGCATATGTCCATTTTTAGCATGTGTATGGGCATGTGCATGAGCATGAGCATGAGCATGTGCATATGCATGTGCATGTGCATGTGCCTGGTGAGAGCTTGCCTGCATGTCGTTGGTGATGAGGATGTTGGCGGGTTTGATGTCGCGATGCACAATGTCAAAGCTATGGAGGTACTTGAGACCACATGCAGCACCAATGAGAATGTCCAGCCGCTGCTGCAGACTCAGAGTAGAAGGTGTCTCTGGAAGGTTCACAGTAAGATACACAGAAGGTACAGTACAGGAAAAAATCATAATCTGTTGGTGCAACCCTACGGTTTGCACTCGGCTTGTTGTCCGTGTGCGTGCATGCATGTGTGCATGGAATGGAATGAGGGCATGGAATAATATATATTTCATGCTTATAATAGTGTGTGTATGATGGGTCATGATGTCGAGTGTGTGTGTCACGTCAATAGCGAATTATCGCTAGTCGCGTGTAACGCGGTCATTTTGTGTGTTCCGCGCGGTTTCTATTTTGTCGTGCGCAGTTTCTATTTTGTCGTGCGCGGTTTCTATTTTGTCGCTTGTCGAACGTTCGGCGTGTCGCAGGTGTGTGCAGCAGACCCATCAAGAACTCAAGGATGAGTTTGTGATGAAGAACCCGAGCCGTGGTGTCAACATTCAAGTGATCGCGAAGCTCGCCAAAGGGTACACCTCAAGAAATTGAAGATAGTTGCATTACTTTGTGTAGTGTAACATTTTACTTGGTGTAGGCCCTTGTGAAGGGTAGTTTCGAGACCCTTCGTGGTTGGGGACAGTGTGGCATTGTTGCACATCACTGTACCTCGACTCTTGGGGTTTCTAGGAGCTGGGAGTCATTTCCAACTCGTAACTCTTCATAACTCTTCCCATCTTGTGTTCTAAGACTATAGTGGCTGCCATAGTGCCGTTCGCTCAAACCGACGCTGTGTCGTCAATACTTGGTGAAATCGTGCGATCTAAATTGTCTATTGTAGGCGACGTTAAGACGCTCCAGATCCAAGTTGAATCAGGTCATTTGGAGTTGTGAGCAGATCGCTATGAATGTTTAAAGCCGCTGTGCAGAAATCCGACAGTGCACTCTATCTTCTGTTTTAGGCACATTGAAGCCTACCGTGACTATAACAAGTGGTATCAGAGCCCCTTGGAGCAGCTAAGAATATGGCTAGACCTGAAGAGAGGGGTGGCAGAGGTGCTGGTGGCAATGGAGATGCCCAAGCACAAGGCCAAGCCCGTGAGTCGGCCGTGGCGCCCGTGCAACCGACTCTTGGACCATCTAGGGACGAACCAAGAGTGTTCGGGCTTGACAAGTTCAACGGCGACAACTTTGCTGAATGGTCCTTCAGAATGGAGAACGTGTTCGACCACTATGACCAGCTGGAGGTGATAGAAGGAACGGAGAAGCGTCCCGAGAACGACCCGGAGAAGAGCCCGTGGGTGCGGAAGAGCGCACAAGGCTACCTCCTACTTGGGCAAGCGTTGGGGAGCAGTCAAATCCGTCACATCAAGCCTTTCCAGCGTGAACCAAAGAAGGGACCAAAGGCATCGGCTGCTCCCGTGGACCCGTGGAAGCTGAACCCGTGGAAGACGAACCCGTGGAAGACGGGGTGCAGAAATTCTTCGACTTATTGACGCGGCTTGAGGGAGCTGATTTGAACTACAGTGAGCTCCAGAAGAAGACTAAGTTGCTGGCCTTACTCCCAGAGTCGTGGTCCTCGCTCATCATTAACCTCAACCGTGACTTGGCCCGTCTCTCGCTTGAAGACGTGAAGCGCGCGATCCTTCAAGAGGACTTCCGCCGCCGTGAGTTGGCGAGTGCGGATGGCGCTGGGGCAGCGAGCGTCGGCCGTGGATATGGCCGAGGAAGAGGCAGAGGACGAGGGGGAGGAAGATCTGGTGGCGGCAACTTCAGTGGAGGCCGCGGGGAAAAGCGGATACGGCAGCGACGACAAGAGCTATGGTCGCGGTCGCGGACGATTTGACGGCGAATGTCACTATTGCGGCAAGATCGGACATATGTGGCGCGATTGCTTCAAACTCCCTGATGGTTGGACCCCTGCTCAACGCCAAGAGGGTAGAGGAGCAGGAGTGTTGAGTGATGCAATCATATGCATTCACGTCTGTCTGCCTCCCATCATATGTTCGTGCGTTGCATGCGTGGTGTGAGCGTGTGCAAGAATTTGTGTTTTGTGCGGTTTGGTTTTTCTAAGTGTGTGTGAATGCTATTTGGCTTGAGCAGATATCTGAAGTGACTCCTCTGCTCAAGAGCTTTCCGACGAACCAAGTATCGCCTCAATCGGAGCACGATCAAGAAAGTTACGAACGTTGGAGTTCGTATCCTTTTCATATTTGATTGTGGCAACTGTGGGAAGTTGTGGGGTTGACTCAATATGGGGTACAGACTTTTGGGGGTTGGGAAATTCGTCTTTTCTACTGTAGTTGCTGCCAAATGGTTGGGAGAAACCAAAACCAGGTTGGCAAGTGTGGCCAAGTTGGGTTGAGGTGGATTGTGGAGGTTGGGATAGTGACAAAGGTCAAAGTTGGGTTGCCTATGGGGAAGGGAATTGTGTGGCATCGGGTTTCCTTGGTTGGGGACTCTCTTGGGACCTTCCCTCTCATCCTCCTCATCCCTTCCACCTGGTTTAGTGCTACTCAAACTTCTTTGTGTGGTAATTTGTGGAACTTGTGTGAACTTTGTGATTGAGTTAAGATTCTATGGCAGCATACCCCCTAGTGCGCTGAAATCGATAACTCAAGACACACTTCACCTTTTCGTACGATTCAACTTGGGAATTGTAGCCACGGAGTAGAGCTACAACATATCTGAGTTTGGTGAAGTTTTAACCGTGAAATTTCCGTCGACGGCGTTTCTTGTGAACTCGACTTTTCTGTTCAGAAACTAGGCCCAACGATGTTGAGATATTTTGGCTCCTAATCTTCATAGACTCCGTCCTTAGTCTCTAACAAGTGGTATCAGAGCTGATTAAGGACTTTGTGGAGAGTCTACTGAAGTGTGAAGACCCTCCTAGACCCACTATGGCCTGTGGGCGTGCCTAAGTGGAGTTCTGGAGGTTGGATGGGACTTCCGCTAAGGGGAAACTCTGCCGAAATTTCGTTGGCGCCGACACTTGTGAAGATTGTGTGGATCTACATTGTGACCAGCAAAAGGGGGAGCTGAAACCTCTGATTGGGAGCAGAGGAGATGAATCAAGGGAGTGGAGATGCAGCTGAGAAGAGGAGTGAACCGCCACCATCCAAGATCGAAGCTTTGGATGGCTCCAACTATGAGGAATGGAGCGGGCGGATGCGGAGCGCCTTCAAGCGCTACAAGCTACTGAAAATTGCAATGGGAGAGGAGAAGATGCCCGCGATCGGTGGATTGAGAAGAGCGCGGTGCTGTACGACCTCATCCTCCAATCGGTCAACAACGACATGTTCCAGCACATCAAGGATTTGGTGGAGTTGGATGATTCCGGACCGAAGGCATGGAAGCTGCTACGCGACGTGATTCAGCCCAACACGCTGCCGATGGTGATTGTGTTGGAGAAGAAGTTGGCTGCCCTCTCCATGAAACCGGGAGATGATGTGAAACCGGTCCTTGACAAGATCAAGGACACCTATGCGAAGATGGCAGCGGCGGGCAGCGAAGTGTCGCAGTTGCAACAGTGCACCAAGATCATCTCGGTGCTCGACAACTCGTGGGACAACCTCATCCCCACCCTCAACGTTCAGCAGGACAAATGGACGCCTGAGTGGCTACGGCAGCAGATTCTGCAAGAGGAATTCCGCAGGCGCCACACGGGAGGTGGTGCTGCCAACAAAACTGCTGAGGGGTATGGAGCTGCAGGAGGCAGCAGAGGAAGAGGGGGAGGGAGAGGCCGAGGCCGTGGGAGAGGCTTTGGCAGAGGGAGAGGCCGAGGTGACTACAATGAGGGGCATGTGAGCTCTGGTGGCAGGGGGAGCACCCGAATGGAGGGTGCATGCTGGTACTGCAAGAAGGCTGGACACCCGTGGTTCAAGTGTTTCAGCCGGCCTGAGGGATGGGCCCCTCCAGGCATGAAGCTGCCAAGTGGTGAACGTGCACGCGGTGGCGCTGTGCAAGGATCAGGTGCACAAGGTGATGGTGCACAAGGTAAAGCCGACCCTGGGATGTTCCTCATGGTTGAGGATGTGCAAGGGAGTGGGGGTGATGTGGGTTCAGTTGGGAAGGTTGTGATGCACCCCCTCACTCACTGGGTGATCGATTCAGGTTGCACGAGTCATATGACCCCACGGGCAGATTTGCTTGATGAGGTAAAACCTCCTGGGAAGATCAAGTTTGTGGCTGCCGCTTCAGGTGCTTTGCTCCCTGTGATTGGTGTTGGGAATGCTAAGGTGATGGGAGCCAATGGAGAGCTTGTGGGGCTTGGGAATGTGCTGTTGGTTGAAGGTTTGTCCGCTAACCTTCTTTCTGTGCGCCGGCTGCAGAAGAGCAAGGCTGAAGTTACCTTCGGCCCAACCAGCTGCCGTGCAAAGCTTGGGAAGTTGCTGCTGTGGAACTTGGAGGAGAAGAGCAGCTGCATCAAGGACCTGTGGCAGCTGCCCATCATCCCTTGGAAGGGGAAACCACCAGCAACGGCAAAGGCAGCGGCAGCGGCTAAAGCATCTGCGGGAGGAGAGGAGACTGCACCAACTGCTGGGGCCCTGGATGCAGTCAAGAAGGTGCAGCAGCCACAGCAGCCACATGGTGAGGTGCTTGCTGGTGTGGATGCGACAGCTGCATGGGCAAAGGCTTCATCTGGGAGTGGTGAGGCTGATTGGGAGACGTGGCATGAGAGGCTGTGCCATGTGAACATTCCTATGCTGCAGAAGTTGGTAAAGGATGGGTGCTTGAAGGGGCTGGAGGTGAAGGGGGGAGCAAAGGAGATTGGGAGCTGCCCTACCTGCCTTGAGACCAAATTCACGAAGTTTCCCTTCAGCAGCAGCACAGGACCAGCCAAGGCACCACTTGCACTAGTGCACATGGATGTGGTGGGCCCCACGAGGGCCCTTTCTCTCTCGGGCAGCCGCTACTTCTTGACGATTGTGGACGACCACACGCGTGTGGTGTGGGTGTACCCTCTCAAGACTAAGGGGGAGGTGGCAGCGGCTGTTCTTAAGGAGTGGATGCCGAGAGCACAAAGGGAGAGCGGACACAAGGTGAAGGTGATCCGCACTGACAACGGAGGAGAGTTCATCGGCG